AAAACATAATAAGGCTGAATCTGTTTCTGAGTTACTGTTTGAGGTAGACCTTCTTATGCTCTGAGTCTTTGAGAAATTGGTTGACATCCAAACACACACACACTACTTCAGTCAGAAGGTCATCCAAACACACACACACACACACACACACACAACACACACACACACACACACACGCACACGCACACACACACACACACACACACACACACACACACACACACACACACACACACACACACACACACACACAGACAGACAGACAGATGGGAGAAACAGGATTTTGTGTAGATAATACAAAAAATTGGATATCAATTCAGGTAAATGACTTAAAGGTGGGGTAGGTAAGTTTGCAGAAACCGGCTCGAGATCACTAGAATTTGAAAATACACAGCCGGAAAAAATCTGCCACTTCCTTACAGAGCCCCTCCTCCAACACACATGAACGCGCACATGACCAATGAGGGCACGAGATAAGTTTGTGCACAGATGGAAGGCTGACAGGCAGGTAGGCCATCCAGTTATTTTAGCCGGGCCGGCTCAGATGATTGGTCGTGCTTTTCACAGTACTACAGCTTCCACAGATGATATTTTTTTAATGGATTTTTTGTCAAAGCACTTCAGATATTCATTGCTATCGGGATGTTAAGAGCATTCCATGGAATATAACAAAAAGTGTATCTCGAGCCGGTTTCTCAAACTTACCTACCCCACCTTTAAGTGAAGTACATACAGAATGCAGATTATTGCACTTGATTATAATACATTAGATTACAACAAAAAACAGTAGGAATCATGTGTTTATAAAGTAATAAAACATTAAAAAAACATCACTAGAACGACAGTAAACTGGTAATGCAGCATCTTATTAAGGCTCTTTAATAAATAAGGACATTAGTAAACATTTAAAATATAAAAATTAACTAAACATTAACTTTATAATATTGCAAAGATTATTGATTTTATACATGAATTATTTAATTGTGAGTTTTCGTTACACTATATTATATTTAACTGATGAAATGATGCTTGGCCTATTTGGTATATAAGCCATATAGCTCAAAAACACTTCATTAAATGTATAAAATATATTTGAGTAAATGTGTATATTTATCAAATGGCAGCTCATATAAATAATAATTAACTAAATTATGAACTGACTTTTCAGTCCTTTTCCCTCCACACTGTTTATGCTATTAAAGTGGACCAATAGAGTGGTACAGTGACACGTCCTAAAACCCGGAAGTAAACTCCTTCCGGTTCCTTCGACAAAAAAGCAATGAGATTTCTCCATAGGATTTTGGAAAATATGTTATGTATAAAAGACATCAAAAAGTGCATTTTGCATGATAGGTCCCCTTTAATATTACTTATGAATGAATGAATAGTGAGTTTTTGTACAATAGTCAATTTTACTTATGCTTGATCCACTGGCTATATAAGCCGAATTACTGAGGGAAACCATTTAATTAAATATGTAAACTATCTTTAATCAAGTATGTATATTTATCAAATGGCAGTTTATAGATGTTATAATTGACTTCATTTTGTATGGAGTTTGGCGCATGTTGCCTTCACAAAGTAAATGGTCACTTAACGGCTAAATAATAAACATTACATTGTGTCTCACCCTCTCACCACAATGAAGTCAAACATTATAACAATATAACAAACAGTTAAACAGTTCAAATATAGAAGCCGGACTGAAGAGTTAAATGTAATTTATTGAGAATATTCATATATAACACATGAATGAATGAGGAGTTGGTGTATGTAAAAAAGTCAATTTCACTGATAAAATTATGCTTGATCCACTGGCTATATAAGCCGAATTACTCATTGAAACCACTTCATTTAATTTGTAAAATATTATTAATCAAGAATGAATATTTATCAAACGACAGCTAATATAAGTTATATTTGACACAAAGTAAACGGTCACTTTACGGCTACAAACAGTCACTTGACGGTCATTTAACGGCTACAAACAGTCATTTAACGGCTACAAACGGTCACTTAACGGCTAATAAAGGGCTAATAACGGTCATTAAACGGCAAAAAAAATGTAATATTAAAACGTGTCTCACCTTCATGAAGTCGATGTATCCATAAACTCCTCGAAGTCCACACTTTTAACCCGGAAAGCAGCATTTTACGGCTGTCTTTCAACACAGAAACAGCTCAAATCTGTGAGTGTTTCTCCTGTTTTTGTCTTATTATCAGTTCAACATTCCTCTGATCTTTGGGCAGAAAACAGAGAAAAGGGGAGATAACAAAACAAAAACGTTAATCTTTTCCCGGGCTTTATGTTCCTAACTTCTAAACGAAATATAAAAGATAACTAAATTAACGCGTTTTTTCTTAATTGTACTGTAATACTAACTTTATTACTACAGTTATGACTTCAGTTTTACAATCATAACAAACCATTTTCAAGGCTGCACCTCGTGTGTTACACCTGGAAGCGTCCGTGTGGAACACTGACCTTCAGTACGTAGGTTCCGCAGTAACAAATTACATATAAGATAGTACAAACAATGAGCCATATAATAATAACAATAATAATAATAATAATAATAATAATAATAATAATAATAATAATAATAATAATAATAATAATAATAATAATAATAATAATAATAATAATAATAATAATAATAATAATACATTTTATTGTATTCAGTGTTTTTAAAAAATAGGTATGGTATTTTACTTTTTTACATAAACATTTTATGACTAAAATTATAAAAATAAGAATTCAATAATAAAAAATGTGTGTTCATGTTTTGAGAGGTTTTGGCCAGCCTAAAGGAGCAATGTTAGTTTTTACATTTTCTATTAAGAGTTTACTTATATGTCCAAATTGCACATCTTGGCCCTTTCTCAATTCTCTAATTTCCCCTCCTCGAATCCTCGGACCTCCGGTAGTGACCCGGAAATGGATTTCAGCGCGCCATGTTGAAGGACATCTCATTTCTCTAACCGCCTGCTGCTTCCCCTCCTCTCTCCTCGGTTCCCCTCCTCGACTCCTCTCTCCTCGACTCCCCTCCTCGACTCCTCTGCTCGCATCTCCTGTGGGCGGGACTAAGACACGAGGATAGGAGTCGAGGAGGGGAGTCGAGGAGGGGAGTCGAGGAGGGGAATTAGAGAAATGAGAAAGGGCCCTTGACACTAAACCAGTGTTGTTGTTTATTACATTTCTTTGTGCACGCTATTTTTCACAACATGTATAAGTTATATATTTTTTAAAAGCCATAAAGCAAAACAAACACCTGTAATGCAACATACATTTCATTTGTTTATTTGATAGGGACAGCAATCAAATACAGCAAACGGTAGTATTTATTTTTATAGTGACAGTGTAGGTAATTCACTTCAGAAACACTTGTTGTTATATCCCATGGAATGCTCTTAACATCCCGATAGCAATGAATATCTTAAATGCTTTGACAAAAAATCCATAAAAAAATGTGAAATCTGTGGAAGCCGTAATATTGTAAAAAGCACGACCAATCATCTGAGCCGGCCCGGCTAAAATAACTGGATGGCCTACCTGCCTGTCAGCCTTCCATCTGTGCACAAACTTATCTCGTGCCCTCATTGGTCATGTGCGCGTTTGTGTGTGTTGGAGGAGGGGCTCTGTAAGGAAGGGGCAGATTTTTTCCGGATGTGTATTTTCAAATTCTAGCGCACTCGAGCCGGTTTCTCCATTCTTACCTACCCTATCTTTAAGTAACATGTGTAAAAAATACAAAATGTAAAAAGTTTGCAAACATGCTAATTTACATCCATAGTCCCTCGGGAGATAACCCAATCAGACACATCTCAAGTACAAATATACAATTCACAAGTACAAATATACAATTCACAGGTACAAATATACAATTCTCAAGTACAAAAGACACGATCATTGTACCACACGTTAATGGTGATTGCACCATTAACGACAGTTTTTATAAATGGGTCCTGAAAGTAAAAACAGAATGTCAAATCAGACAGAAAAAAAGTTCAAACTCTATTTTTGAGAACGCAAACATCTGAACACCTGAAATGCAACGAGTAGAAAAACAACAAGTGCTTGCTCTGCAGGTTTTTTGATACACTAGCAGCTGAAAAGGCTACAGGATGTGGCTGCTGGCTTTTCAGCAAAGATAAACACAAAATGTCCTATTTGAAAGGAAACGGAAAGCAGCGCAGATGGTGAAACACGTCTCAGCTGCTGATGACTCAAATAAATCTGTTTCAGGGGAAAGATTGACTGAGGAACCTGAAATCAGGAAATAACAGAAACAACGTTTATTCTCCTAGTTTGTTTCTATTGATCCTCTCTCTCTGCACGACACTCTGATCCTCGATCACATTGAGATTACACTTCAGGATAACATTTGGTAAAATACAACATTTCATTAATTAAAATGTTAATATTTAGTTTTTAATTATTGATTTGTAATGTTTGATATTACATTTTAAATTTCCAAATGTAAAATGTTTGATTAAATTGTAAAATGTTGTAAATACATAGAAAATATCAATATCTTAAAAAAAATATTAAAAAAAGTTTACAAATGTTTATGTTTTAATGTTTTAATATTTTCACATGCACATTTTTCAATTTTCAATGTATTTATTTATTTTTTATATTTTTATATATATATATAGAAAATATATATATATATTTTTTAAATATACATTACTTTTTTACTATTATATATACATATATATTTTTTTTTTTCAAATTTCCAAATGTTTACGTTTTAATATTTTAATATTTTCACATGTTATCTAATATTTTAAAGCTTTGATATCCCATCTTCCCTGACATTTCTAGAGGACCTGAAGTCCTGAGATGTGACTAAGTACGGATGGTGTTGAGGTGTTTTCAGATTTCCAAATGTTAACGTTTTATTGTTTGAATTTTTCTATTATTTTCTAATATTTTCTAATATTTTCTAATATTTTCTAATATTTTCTATTATTTTCTAATATTTTCTAATATTTTCTAATATTTTCTATTATTTTCTAATATTTTCTAATATTTTCTAATATTTTCACGTTATCTAATCTTTTAATGCTTTGATATCCCATCTTCCCTGACCTTTCTAGAGGCCCAGAGATGTGACTAAGTACGGCTGGTGCTGAGGACAGGTGTGCTGAGGCCTCGGGGGTCGGGGGGGTCCGGGGGGCTCAGCGGCTCGACCCGGTGTGAAGCGCTTCTTAAACTGCAGAAAAACAAAGAGAAAACATTATATTATATATATACCTGTCCTTTGATTAAAATACAAACTTGTTTTTAACACAGTATTAATAAAACAAAAATAAAACATCCCTTATTGCATCACTTCAATCTGGAAGTGAAGACAGATACAAATAAATACATTAATAATATTAATATAGTTATAATTTAAGCGAAATAAAACATATTGAACTAAAACATTGAAAGGAATATCTAAATAATAAACAAACAAAAAAATATTTATTAAAAAAAAAATTACAGATATTCTTTTTTTTTTATTGTTTTGCCCATAAATGTGCATTTTCAACGAAACAAACACATTTTTTTTCATTCAGTATAAATAAATAAAATTGAAAGCCTTTAATCCGAAAGCATCTTTTCTAAGTGAAGTAAAAATTAATTTTAATAATAAAAATAGCCCAATTAAGTCTCAAAATATCCTCTTCTTTGCAGGATTACAAAAGCAGGTCCATCCGGTGTTATTATCCTTTCAATTGTCTCACATTTATTATTAAAATGGTTTATTTAAACAGTTGTACTCACTCGTCTGTGTCTCAGAATCATGGCTCCGGTGAAGAGGAGCACGATGACGGTAAACGCCGTCACGCTGAAGGCGATCAGGACGAGATCCAGGATGTGGTTTCCGAGTCCACAGAGTTCCTGCGAGTCTTCTTCTGGAAATAAATGATAGATAAATGTGAAACAGTGTGTGAACAACAGCCTCACTGAAAAAACTGAGACGTTGACTTTCATTAAATATATTATGTCAGGGGTGTCAAACTCAAATACAAAGTGGGCCAAGATTAAAAAATGGGTACTAGTCGAGGGCCGGACTGGTTCAATGTTTATTGCAAAACTTATTGAAATGAACTTATTGCACATATTAAACCTGGAACTAACAAAGCTTAAATTATTGCCTATAAAAACAACATTAAACATTAAATAATCAGTTGCATTCATTTCTTATGGCTCGATCTGCAGCTTTTCCAGAGTCATTTCTTATGATTACATTTCTCCACAGGCCAACAACAGCTTCAAAAAATCTATTTCCCTCAAAGAAAAAACCAAACATGTCCTGTTGTCTCAAGAAAGAAAGTGCAGAAGGAAACATGTAAACTCAGTGTGCTGCTCTGTGATGCTAGCTCAGATACTTGGCATCTCATCTTGGGTGCAAGTTCATCAATGTTTGGGCTCAGGCTCTGAGCTGAGGAGACCCTCAGGATGGAGAGAAGGTGTGCGTGCAATATACCGGCGGGCCAGATCTAATAGTAATTAGAAATTATCCTGTGGGCCGAAATTAAATCCACCAAGGGCCTGATTTGGCCCCCGGGCCTCGAGTTTGACACATGTGTATTATGTCAACAGATTTCACATTACTGCATTAGGTTAGTTGAAAGCAATACTATTAAGATGAAATAAGAAATATTGGGTCGAACTTATATTATTGCTTTCAAATAACCTAATACAGTAATGTGAAATCTGTTGACATAATACATTTAATTAAAGTCAACGTTTCAGTTTTTTCAGTGCTTACGTTGACCCAAAAAAATATAGTTTGGATACTGTATGTATTTTTACTCTTTAATGGAAGCATGCAAGAAACATTACGTTTTCAAAATAATTTGAGGTAACACATTAGAAGTATTGAATTTACAAATTCTACTTTTTTGTATCAAACACTATGAACACAATTTACAAGTATTGATTGTGCAGTAACATTTTGTTGAAGTACTGAAACGCCTCCATTGGATTCCTTTGTTTACTTCCTGAACATAGTGACATCAATATGGTACACTAGCGCTTCTATTGGCTAGCGCTCCAACACATAGGTACGTGATAGGCTAAGGGGCGGGACATCGCTAAGCAGGTTGACCAATCACAACAGAGCCAGCCAGCTAACCAATCAGAGCAGACTGGGCTCTGGTTTCAGACAGAGGGTGAAAAGAGGTGCTGCAGCACAGGCAGTATGAGAACAATAAAGAGCTTTTTGAACATTAAAGCATGGAGACATGTAGAGACACTACATACTGATATACACCTGAACATCAGCAAGAGAGGACTCTTTAAAGTAGAGACACTACATACTGATATACACCTGAACATCAGCAAGAGAGGACTCTTTAAAGTAGAGACACTACATACTGATATACACCTGAACATCAGCAGGAGAGGACTCTTTAAAGTAGAGACACTACATACTGATATACACCTGAACATCAGCAGGAGAGGACTCTTTAAAGTAGAGACACTACATACTGATATACACCTGAACATCAGCAGGAGAGGACTCTTTAAAGTAGAGACACTACATACTGATATACACCTGAACATCAGCAGGAGAGGACTCTTTAAAGTAGAGACACTACATACTGATATACACCTGAACATCAGCAGGAGAGGACTCTTTAAAGTAGAGACACTACATACTGATATACACCTGAACATCAGCAGGAGAGGACTCTTTAAAGTAGAGACACTACATACTGATATACACCTGAACATCAGCAGGAGAGGACTCTTTAAAGTAGAGACACTACATACTGATATACACCTGAACATCAGCAGGAGAGGACTCTTTAAAGTAGAGACACTACATACTGATATACACCTGAACATCATCAGGAGAGGACTCTTTAAAGTAGAGACTCTACATACTGATATACACCTGAACATCATCAGGAGAGGACTCTTTAAAGTAGAGACACTACATACTGATATACACCTGAACATCAGCTGGAAAGGACTCTTTAAAGTAGAGACTCTACATACTGATATACACCTGAACATCAGCTGGAGAGGACTCTTTAAAGTAGAGATACTACATACTGATATACACCTGAACATCATCAGGAGAGGACTCTTTAAAGTAGAGACACTACATACTGATATACACCTGAACATCATCAGGAGAGGACTCTTTAAAGTAGAGACACTACATACTGATATACACCTGAACATCAGCAGGAGAGGACTCTTTAAAGTAGAGACACTACATACTGATATACACCTGAACATCAGCTGGAGAGGACTCTTTAAAGTAGAGACACTACATACTGATATACACCTGAACATCATCAGGAGAGGACTCTTTAAAGTAGAGACTCTACATACTGATATACACCTGAACATCATCAGGAGAGGACTCTTTAAAGTAGAGACACTACATACTGATATACACCTGAACATCATCAGGAGAGGACTCTTTAAAGTAGAGACTCTACATACTGATATACACCTGAACATCATCAGGAGAGGACTCTTTAAAGTAGAGACACTACATACTGATATTTACCTCTGACGATGATGATGGTGCCGTTGGTGGGCAATTGTACGGATACTTTGTCCACGTAGCCCCAGGTGCAGAAATACAGGTCGGTGTCCTGCAGCTGCATCAGATCGATCTTAAAGGAGACACCAACGCCTCCGTCCAGCTGCTTTCGTTCAGATACATGAATCCGTTTTTTAAACACTCCATCCGCAGTATTTGTTGCTATTTTTCCCTTTTTAAAATGCAGGAAACTGACTTCTGTTTTGCTGTGAAACTTCCTCTGCAGACTCAGGCTATCGGGGTCCGACAGAGAGATGGAGCAGGAGATCTCAGCGGATGAGTTTATTGTCTTTATGGAGGTGGAGGAGGGCTCCTGAGAAACTGACAGAATAAGAGAAACTGTTACTGAAGCCTCCATAACATCAGGAGGACAATCAAAATAAAGGTTTATACATACATTATTTGCGAAGTTCCAAGACAGGGCAAACATGTCGCTAACATATATGAAAAAATGGGTACTCTTCTTTAACTGATCTGATTTAAAGAGTCCTCTCCTGTTGATGTTCAGGTGTATATCAGTATGTAGTGTCTCTACTTTAAAGAGTCCTCTCCTGCTGATGTTCAGGTGTATATCAGTATGTAGTGTCTCTACTTTAAAGAGTCCTCTCCTGCTGATGTTCAGGTGTATATCAGTATGTAGTGTCTCTACTTTAAAGAGTCCTCTCCTGCTGATGTTCAGGTGTATATCAGTATGTAGTGTCTCTACTTTAAAGAGTCCTCTCCTGCTGATGTTCAGGTGTATATCAGTATGTAGTGTCTCTACTTTAAAGAGTCCTCTCCTGCTGATGTTCAGGTGTATATCAGTATGTAGTGTCTCTACTTTAAAGAGTCCTCTCCTGCTGATGTTCAGGTGTATATCAGTTTAGTGTCTCTACTTTAAAGAGTCCTCTCCTGCTGATGTCCAGGTGTATATCAGTATGTAGTGTCTCTACTTTAAAGAGTCCTCTCCTGCTGATGTTCAGGTGTATATCAGTATGTAGTGTCTCTACTTTAAAGAGTCCTCTCCTGCTGATGTTCAGGTGTATATCAGTATGCAGTGTCTCTACTTTAAAGAGTCCTCTCCTGCTGATGTTCAGGTGTATATCAGTATGTAATGTCTCTACTTTAAAGAGTCCTCTCCTGCTGATGTTCAGGTGTATATCAGTATGCAGTGTCTCTACTTTAAAGAGTCCTCTCCTGCTGATGTTCAGGTGTATATCAGTATGTAGTGTCTCTACTTTAAAGAGTCCTCTCCTGCTGATGTTCAGGTGTATATCAGTATGTAGTGTCTCTACTTTAAAGAGTCCTCTCCTGCTGATGTTCAGGTGTATATCAGTATGTAGTGTCTCTACTTTAAAGAGTCCTCTCCTGCTGATGTTCAGGTGTATATCAGTATGTAGTGTCTCTACTTTAAAGAGTCCTCTCCTGCTGATGTTCAGGTGTATATCAGTATGTAGTGTCTCTACTTTAAAGAGTCCTCTCCTGCTGATGTTCAGGTGTATATCAGTATGTAGTGTCTCTACTTTAAAGAGTCCTCTCCTGCTGATGTTCAGGTGTATATCAGTTTAGTGTCTCTACTTTAAAGAGTCCTCTCCTGCTGATGTCCAGGTGTATATCAGTATGTAGTGTCTCTACTTTAAAGAGTCCTCTCCTGCTGATGTTCAGGTGTATATCAGTATGTAGTGTCTCTACTTTAAAGAGTCCTCTCCTGCTGATGTTCAGGTGTATATCAGTATGCAGTGTCTCTACTTTAAAGAGTCCTCTCCTGCTGATGTTCAGGTGTATATCAGTATGTAATGTCTCTACTTTAAAGAGTCCTCTCCTGCTGATGTTCAGGTGTATATCAGTATGCAGTGTCTCTACTTTAAAGAGTCCTCTCCTGCTGATGTTCAGGTGTATATCAGTATGTAGTGTCTCTACTTTAAAGAGTCCTCTCCTGCTGATGTTCAGGTGTATATCAGTATGTAGTGTCTCTACTTTAAAGAGTCCTCTCCTGCTGATGTTCAGGTGTATATCAGTATGTAGTGTCTCTACTTTAAAGAGTCCTCTCCTGCTGATGTTCAGGTGTATATCAGTATGTAGTGTCTCTACTTTAAAGAGTCCTCTCCTGCTGATGTTCAGGTGTATATCAGTATGTAGTGTCTCTACTTTAAAGAGTCCTCTCCTGCTGATGTTCAGGTGTATATCAGTATGTAGTGTCTCTACTTTAAAGAGTCCTCTCCTGCTAATATAAAAGGTGCCCACAGTTTAAACTAGTCGAAAAACAAGTAAGCTATTGAGACACCGCTCAATCTGTCTGTCAGATTTACCACAAACACACACCCATGTTTTGATCAGGTGCCAAACTAAACAAGGTGCTGTTTGGCACAGAGTGAAAGTGAGAATGCATCTCCAGGATGTTATCTTCTATCAGATATCACTTGCAGCAAGATTTTCTGGCTGTTCTGCAATCCTCTGAGCCGCAGATAAAAAACAAGATGATCAAAGTTCAAGTTATATGTCCTACCTGTATGAATAATAAGTAAAACAACAGCAGGTGAGACTTAAGACGGTCTGATTCCTCCAATCAGAAACGTACATATGTAGGTTTAATATATGTATATATGTAGGTTTAATATATGCAAATGGTGTTGGTCTGGACCGAATATTAAAGAAATGCAGAAAGTGTTGCAATCGTCCGCAGACTCCCCTCAGTTCTTTTAAAGGTAGCTGCAGGATATACTAAAATATGTATTTTTTAAATGACAAAAGGTTAAGCTGCAGAATGGAGTCTCACACCCCCCCCCACTGCTTAGCCCTGTGACTCTTCTCCACTTCCTGCAGTCTGAGTGTCTTAATGCACAGTTATAGATGTTAACCGAGGTGTTCAAATATTCAGTGTTGTCATGGTCATGTTTTTAAAGAAGTGCATGAACTCTCTTTCTGTGGGTGTTTTCACTTCCTGCTGCTGAACTTCACTGCAGGACAAAAACACTGACTTTGCTTTTGCTGCTTTACATTTATTTCATAAGGCTAATGTTGGGCTATAAAGGAACTACAGCACGGTCACATGACTTCACGTCACCACTGCTAAGCTAAAGGAGGCTAATGTTGGGCTATAAAGGAACTACAGCACTATGTTGTTTTCATTTTGAGGAATGCAAACTAAAAATGTATATAAACAAAAAATTAAAAATAAATAATAATATACATAATACACGTTTAAAAATGACATATATTTATTTGATATTAAAAATAAATATAATAAGATTTTTAGGATGTATTTGACTGATAGCATTATATATATTACTTCTCCATAGTAAATCGTTGTACAACAGTTGTATTACCTTTAAATACAATATTTACCTGTATACCTTTATAAGGTATCAGGGTAAAAATGAGTACATGTCGAACACAGGGGATATTTTTCTACAGAAATACTTTGTTTATTTAAAACTTTCAGTCCATTTTACTATAAATAAAAGGAACAAATGCATCATTTTTAAATTGAATTTTAGTTTTAGAGAATAGAGAGATATGCTTCTGCTCAGAGGTTTGAAAACAGGAAACGAACAGGAAGACGTGACTCAGCCTCACATTTCAAAACGTCTTCATCATTTTGGATGTTAAACAAAAAAAACAGTATTCCACATTTTTCTCACACACACACGCACACGCACACACACACACACACAAACACACACACACACCCGTACCTGTCCAGATGTGCAGCAGGACCTCAGCAGGCAGGCAGAGGATCCCCAACACACAGCTCCACCCGAGGGCCTCCATCCTCTCAGGCCAAACACACACTGACAGAGGAAGTGTGATGGTGTGTCTGTATCATCTCTGTGTGTAAGTCTGTGTCATCTCTCTGTGTGTGTGTGTGTGTGTGTGTGTGTGTGTGTGTGTGTGTATGTGTGTGTTTGTGGGTGCTGCATTAAATCAAAGAAGAGGAAACTGCTTATCGACGACAACTTTATTGACAACACCAAATATTCCACGTAAAAAGGCTTATTTAGCCCACACAGTAAAAAACACATTTGACAGTATAAAACAACACATTCTTATTTGGTTTGTTTTTATTGCAGAGTTGATTAAGTGGCTTTGTAGTGCTATTTTATAAAGTTGGTTCAAGCTCCAGAAAAGCTAAAGGCATCTTAATTTCCAACTCTTGTGTATAATATGTACAGATATAACCCCAAAACATATATATTTTACATATATACACATGGTTAAATACATTTTCTTCTGTATTCGCCACCCACCGCTAAGCTAAAGGCGGCTAATGTCGGGCTATAAAGGAACTACAGCACGGTCACATGACTTCACGTCACCACCGCTAAGCTAAAGGAGGGTCACATCAGAATCAGAATCAGAATACCTTTATTAGTCCCACAGAGGGGAAATTTGCATTGTTACAGCAGGAAAGAGCCACCGACAGCTTAATGTTACATATGTTAAAAAAAAAAGTACTAAGTTATGATATAATACAAATATAATAAAAAAAATAAAACTAAAGAAAAAAATACTTTTCAAATTACAAATCCTGTAACAGTTCTTAGGATTTAGCAGCCAGGTATATATTACACATGACTTCACATCACCACCACTAAGCTAAAGGCGGCTAATGTTGGGCTATAAAGGAACAACAACACGGTCACATGACTTCACGTCACCACCGCTAAGCTAAAGGTGGCTAATGTCGGGCTATTAAGGAACAACAACACAGTCACATGTCTTCACATCACCACCGCTAAGCTAAAGGCGGCTAATGTTGGGCTATAAAGGAACAACAACACGGTCACATGACTTCACGTCACCACCGCTAAGCTAAAGGTGGCTAATGTCGGGCTATTAAGGAACTTCAGCACGGTCACATGTCTTCACATCACCACCGCTAAGCTAAAGGTGGCTAATGTCGGGCTATTAAGGAACAACAACACGGTCACATGTCTTCACATCACCACCGCTAAGCTAAAGGTGGCTAATGTTGGGCTATAAAGGAACAACAACACGGTCACATGACTTCACATCACCACCACTAAGCTAAAGGAGGCTAATGTCGGGCTATTAAGGAACAACAACACGGTCACATGACTTCACTTCACCACCGCTAAGCTAAAGGTGGCTAATGTCGGGCTATTAAGGAACTTCAGCACGGTCACATGTCTTCACATCACCACCGCTAAGCTAAAGGTGGCTAATGTCGGGCTATTAAGGAACAACAACACGGTCACATGTCTTCACATCACCACCGCTAAGCTAAAGGTGGCTAATGTTGGGCTATAAAGGAACAACAACACGGTCACATGACTTCACATCACCACCACTAAGCTAAAGGTGGCTAATGTTGGGCTATAAAGGAACAACAACACGGTCACATGACTTCACATCACCACCACTAAGCTAAAGGAGGCTAATGTCGGGCTATTAAGGAACAACAACACGGTCACATGACTTCACGTCACCACCGCTAAGCTAAAGGAGACTAATGTTGGGCTATAAAGGAACTACAGCACGGTCACATGACACCGTTATCTTGTGGCGTTTCCTTGTTGATACGATTAATGATTTTCTTTCCTAACAGGGCACCGAAAAGCCCCAATGCTATCACAGGGACGACAATCCCCAAGATGACCGGAACATGAGTTTTGATCGTCTCAATTGGACCTGAAAAATAAACATAGAGATTAAAATGTGGACTAATCCAATGTATTTTAACTTTAGATGGATAATAATGATGCACGCTTTACGCACATTTGCTAAAAGACAATAGGAAATGGGAATGTGATGAAACAAGTCGGCCATCTTTGAAGGATACCAGTGTCCGCAACCTGTAGACCAATACACCCTACCTCTATTGAGGGGAGCAGCCCTTCATATATTTTTACCTGTATTTGGCCATCAGTGAAAAGAGTTTTGACACCTTGATCTAGACCAGGGGTGGGGAACCTTTTTCCTCTCAAGGGCCATTTCAATTTTTTTAACATCCTCCGAGGGCCGTACAAATTATTGACCTCTGCTTAAAAATACTAAAATCACAGCCGAAGGATATGGACACAAGATGTGTGCAAATGTATTTAGTTTCCTATCCATGTGAACATGATTTAAGTGGGGGGGGGACCTAACCTCCTCTAGGGGGGTCCGGGGGCATGCTCTCCCGGGGAAGATTATTTTTCAAATGTTGAAGTTAAAAGCATCAATCTGGTGCACTTTGAGAGCAACATGAAGAGATCTATGGAAACGTCTCTCAACACCCATATGAAACAGAACTGTAAGCAGATTTTCTTTTCTTTATGGATATTTTACAAATCACTCCCCTTTCAAACTGTATTCTTGTTTATTAATAACAACTTTTTTTTACTGTCATATAGTATTTTATACCTGTTTACTTTATTCTCTTGTGTTTTTATAACTATAATGATCATATAAAGATGTGCCTTAACCTCACTGGTTATAGAAAAAGCAACCTTATATTCGTTAGCATAGCTAGCTAACCAGATGCTAATAACAACAAAGTTATTGACTGTATGATCAGTATGACAGATGAACAGATCGCCACTGGGCTTTCAACTAAAGACACAGCCACGCAGAAACTGCATGTGTTCCCCACCCCTGATCTAGACGCTATCCTTCAAAGATGGCCGCCGTGCCCCAGAGTGCAACACACTTACCAGGAGACAGATTAATGGAGCCAACACCAATGGTTTTAGGACTTATTATTTGTACTTTGATGTGAGGCGATTTGGCCGTCCCACAGTTAGTCTTGATGTTAACGGTGTAATTATCCTCCTTCCTGACATCTGAGATGGTCATGGACAGGTGACTCACAAGATCCCCCTCACAGGTGTGATTCCCGGAGTCACACTTTATGTCTCCATGTGTGTTATTCCACCGATAACGATAAAACTTACACCTCTGATCCAGGGTGTATGTGCAGTGTATAGTCACGGGTTGTCCGAACACTGCCTCTGTGTCGTTGCACTTCACTGACACTGCAGGAGGAGAAGGAAAAATGTGTGTAAGTTAAATCATTTTTTATTTAAAGTGCACAGTTTATTCATTGATTTGATTTGATTTATTTCGAATGTGTAAAACAATAATACAAAAATGTAACATGATAATTATTATATAATACAAAATGAATCAGCGTCAAATTGATATCCAACAATATTACTGATTCTAAATTATGTATAAACAAATAATCTACTTTATTACACCTCTGAGAAGCGGTGGGAAGAAGTTTACACTCATTTGATCCCACCTCTTTTCCCAAAAACTAAATTATTAACATATATATTTTTTCTCTTTTCTTAAAGAAATACGTTTGTTATTGAAAAACAAAAACATAAAACAACAAATAAATAAACAGATTCAAGTTTATTTATTTATTTGGTTTGTTATTTGATCTTTTCTTGAATATCATTTACCTCTGTTATGTATTTGTTTGTTTATTTATCTGTTTATTTATTTGTTGTTTTATGTTTAGTTTTTTAGTTTTTCAATAACAAATGGTTATTAGGTTATAAAATACCTTCATCTGAGGAGGCAGCGCTTAGCAGCAGAGGAGCAGCAAAGAGCAAACACAGACACGTGAAGGTCATCCTGGAGGATTTAGATTCTGCAGAAACCTGGAGAAAGAAAGTAACAGATATTAAAGGTCCCCTGTTATACTGTTTCTCATCAATATATCACAGGTCTCAGATATATCCAGAGCCTGTCTCTGATTGGCTGAAACACCAAACAGATCATTGCAGCATTACCCATAATCCCCTCTGTTTCAGCCCTGTTTCCAAAGTGCTGATTCTCTGTCTGTTACTTTAGATGAAAATAAGGAGCCCCTCCCCACGCCCCTCTGAGAGAGATTTGGTTACAAAGAACTCAATGGCGCTCTAGGAGGAGATTCAGGCGCCGTTTACACGAGGAGAAAACTGCTTGGATCTGCATAGTTTCGCGTGCGTATAGCCCTATTATTTACACGAGGCCGATAGAAACTGACCCCACAAACGATAACGGGTCCCAAGGTGGATAGATTTGCAAACGAAACGCTCTGGGGGGTCAAAGGAGTCCGTGTAATCACCTCTATATAGCCCCGCCTCTCCCCACCTCTCCTGCTCACTGCTGTTGCAACTATCAAAAATAGCTGTGTTAATTAAACGCACAAGGGGTTCTTGAATGAAATAATATTATAAAAGGCAAACCAGAATTGTTAACGCCCAATATACTCCTTAAACAAAATAAACAGAGTCAGATTTCATGCATTGATCCATTATATTGACAAAGGTGCGATCTCACCCGGTGTTTGTAGAGAATATCTCTCTTTCTGAGCCGTCCTCAAGCAAAGGAAAGGCAGTTATTTATTATAGTGTGACAGTGACAGTGAAGAAACATTTACATTTTACATTTAAATCCCGCTCATGCGCAATTCATTTGCCGTCTCGACGCGGGAGAGTGTGGCTGTCTCCTCTCTGCTCTGACTGCAGCTGAGCTGCTGCGGGAGGCAACTGTGAGACTGAGCGCCTGTGAGTAGGCTACTATGGGAGGGCAGAGGGGCTCATGGCAGCACCCGCGGCTCGTTAACTGCTGAACAATATGTGAGTCACCAAACACCAGAAAAGTCCCTAATAACACCATTACAAGTCGTTAAATTAGTCGTTAGTCGCTTTTGACAAAAATAAGTAGCCGGAGGGTTTGGAAAGCCGCCGAATTTAACGAGAAAGTCGCCAAGTTGGCAACACTGGTTGCTAAATACACCGCGGGGCTTAAACAGAAGGGTAGCCATGGCAACATTGTGGCGGGGCTGCTCGGGCTGCTCTTCTTCGCGGGGCCTAAGGCCT